AAAACAGTGAAGAAGGGTGAAGACAGAGGAAAGAAAGCAGAATATGGTGGGAACAGGGTGATTGTTATGGCTGGAAATAAAGTAGAAGATGCAGTTGTCTGGAGTGGGAAAAAAATATGGTTGTCACAAACATATAAAACACTAGAAGACCAATCGCAGGGATATTTCTTTGCAGGGCTGCAATATAATATTCAGAGGAAACCGTTAGCTCAACATGATGATGATGAAGGAATTGGATGGTCAGATCAACAAGTTCTTTCCTTTTTAGCTTCTAGGATGAACAAATCTGGGCAAGGAGAGGGCTTCACCAGTACTGCTGCTATAAAAATACAAAAAAGGTTTTGGGGGTGGAAGAAGAGAAAAGAATTCTTGATCATTCATCATAAGAGTTAAAATCCAGGCCCATGTAAGTGGTCACCAGGTCAGAAGGCAGTATAGAACAATCATATGGTCCATGGGAATTCTGGAAAAGAAGCAACTCTTAAAGGAGTCAACAATTCTTTCATATAGACCACCACCCAAGCCTCTAGACCTGAATTGAAGGGCAACAGCCAGTGGGTTCCCTTCCTATGATGAAGTGAGCCATGGGAACAAGCATTACTGTACCAACCTTGGATAAGGTTGTTTCGCAGCAACAACACATAACAGGAAACTCAGTTCCTAACATTGAAATTGTCTTCACAGATCAAAATAGATTTCTGTTTTCAGATGGTCATGATATGGTTGACTAAGGAATCACAACTCCACAAAGGTAAACCAAGATAAGTAGTATTTCCAGTTGTCATGGCAATAGGAATAACAGAAATAGAAGGCATACACTTCCATCCCTTCCTAGGTTTACACTGCCTTCGAACAAGAAAATATAAGTATTAAACAAATATTCTATATTTTTGCAACTTTAGATCGAAATTTTGAATATGCTTTAGGATTTTGTTAGTGAAAGGAGAACTTAAAACCTGCGAAACTTAAACCAGCATCCCTACAGGCAAGAGCAGTCATCATCATGTGTGAACTGTCTAGTGAATGTATGAAGTTTGGGGGAAATGCAGATCTCTGTTTCTTGGCATCTACCTGGAATGTGAATAGTTTTAATTGAAAATATCAACAGAAAGGAAAGCTGCAAAAATGAGGACGCGTACACTTACTGTGTTACCCTCTCGTCTCAAAGCCAAAAATTGAAGAGATGTTTTTATCTGCAGTCAATGGCGAGATTCATAACTGTCATGCCTCAAGATAGTTAAAATATCCTTAAACTATTATTTTTGATTCAAATGTATAATTATTGGTTGTCTTGGGTTTTTACAGCTTCTTTCACAGCGCCTGCAAATCTATATAGCTTATGCTAGGAATATTTTGTAGATGAGCTTGGGCACTGTTATGTATTTATGTTCCTCAGCTGTATTCATATACACAAGGGGATGATATCACGTGAATATTTACCATTTCTCTCTACAGCCTAAAAGAAGTGCTTCTTAATACTAGTGTTGAGCTCTGAGAAGCAAACAAGCACACAGCATTATAATCGCTGAGAGATTATGAGGAAATATCAAAAGGTCATACCGAAATAGTTTGAAATGCAGTGGAGTCTTACAGCCACCAAGATTAATTTATTACATATTCCACAGGTAACTGACTGGTCATAGTCTATCTCCATTGCATTGCCTAATAGCAAGAATTTGTTGAGGTATCACACAATTGATAGACTATTGGGTTAAATAAATCACCAAACATCTCAAAAGTTACTGAAGTGACGAGTCACCAAAGCAAGTAATACAAAATATGTAGTTTGTAGAGAATAGCGGTTATGAATCTTAGCATAACAACTGGTCAAGAAATGGTGAAACACGTACAATTACAGCCATATGGTAGCAACATGTTGAAGAAAGATCTACAGTTCCATGACAATCCATTAACACATCAACCCATTGCATAATGTCACGTAAGTTACCATTTTAAGTGGGCTTTTAACAAAATTCGTTCTTTTAACCAGTTAGGTGGATATCTTCCATTGTATATTTAGTATGATGGTTTTAACTTGTCACTGTTCAGTAAATAAATGCCTATAACATAAAGAAAGGAGGAGAAGTGGGGAGGGGAGCACAAGGCCAGAATCACGTTTTATAAAAGCTTACATATGACACTAGTATGGCTGTATAACTATTAGGATCCAAGCAACCAAACCATAGAAACTTGATGAACGTTTGACAAGTATACCAATCGTTATTGTAGTAACAAAATATCGTCCTCTGGGATTGAATGAGTTGATTACTAAATTTACTAATTCACGTAATTTTGAGCAACAAAAATATCAAGTGAAATGATGAACATAAACAAATGATGAGAATTCAAATAATATAAACAATGTTAGAGAATTGATTTCACACCTATTCATATAAATTCCTACCCTTTCCAATTGATATGCGAATTATAATTATCCACTTGAGTTTATTAAGAGCTTGTTTATACCTAATTTCTTAGATAGAAAAACTTATCCATTGAATTCTAACCCCAAATCCCTTAGGTCAGTTACAAAATTCAATAAAATCAGAAGAACAATTATTATCTCAATTGCAAACTAATTAATTGTATCCAATTGTGACAACATCTAATCTGTTCTATTTATAATCGCAAACAATCCCCAATTTTCCAATTGTGAAACTGCTCATAGAATAGACATTAATACATAAATAAAACACTTTGATAATTAAAATTACTAATCATCAATTGAAAAGGCTCAGAAATTATAATAAAAAAGTACTACATCAATCCTCTAATAAACGAAAAATTAGTTCTACATAATGTAAAATTCCAAAGAAAAACTAAAAGAAGTGTAGAAGCTCTTAAGTCCATGTTGATGTGCGTCCTCTCACCCCCTAATTTCACGTCCCAAAAATCCTTTTCTTTTTTTATCAATTTTCCACTCATTCCCCCTTTTTAGGAGAGTGGTTACTCCTCTAAGTAACTGCCCTTCATTTCTCTATTTTTTTAATTTCTTTAAATTCACGTAGTATGAAAGGTTAGTAACTGCTCTGAAAAATTTCAGAGCTCATGGAAAAATCCACAATTTGCTTGTGCTCTTCTTTGGTTTCAATTATGCACTTTCTGAAGTAAATCCACAAGTTGTGGTAAAAGCCACAACTCACTTGTGGAACTCTTTGTTTTGCCTTCTATTTCTCTCAAGATAAATCCATGGAAAATTTCACAGCTCAATTGTGGAACTCTCTATTTTGCATCTACATTTTGGAGCAAAATCCACAAAACTACAGCTAGGCTGTGGAACTCTCTGGATCTTGGACATCAATTCTTCCCAAGTTGTGATTTTGACACTTAGAATCACAAATCTACAAGAAAAACACAAAATCCAAATGTATGATCCAAAACAAAGATAATACATGATGAAATCATTAAATTAATGCAATTATGAATGCAAATGGCCTAAACTAAGATATGAATACAATTACATTTTATTCACAAATCAAAATACCCCAAGCTTAGACTTTTGCTTGTCCTCAAGCAAAGAGAATTAAACTAACACAGAATGATAATGCACACATAATGATGAATGAATTTAAATGGAAATATACCCTCTCATCCAAGTCTAGTTCAAACAATGATATTCCTCAAGTACACACTTCACAATGTTTTTAGAATGATGACTAACTTATTGGGTCCCTTAGTGCAATTACTTAGTTGAGGTATGACACAAGACATCAAGGCAAATAATTTTTGAAATTTTTTTTTAAAGGATTTTCTATCAGGTTCCTGCCTTAGAAGACACTTACCTGCCAACTAAGCATGGATCTTCCACTCAATTGTTTTCTTTTTCTTGCCACACTCATTTTCAAAGGAGTGTCTCTTCCCCAGTAACATATAGTCTCCAAGGCGTGTCAATTTATTCACTGAATTTTCTTTTCAATTTTTTTTAATTTTTTAAATTTTTTTGATAGACAAATATCCAGTAACCAAGTGTAGTGAGTGTCACCATAGAAACCTAACAAAAAAAAATATTTTCTATCATTTATGTACATCTCAAAAATCATCTTCCTTAAGTGTCAAATTTCACTGCGTAGTGTGTGAAGTTTCCTAACAAGGAATCACAAATAGATATTCACATTATGCTTAGAAAATATCATTGAACAAACATAGAATTTAGAGTTGAGATGATACATTTCCATTTAAACATGAGATGCAATATGCAAAGGTAAAAATGATGTAAGATGCCATGCATAATAACACCCCAAGCTTAAATATTTACATGGTCCCCAATGTATAGAAAATAAAAAGTGTACGGGGCTACAACTCACAAGATTACTGATGACGAGAATAGAGCATGGTGAGAACGTCTTGCAAGAGTTGTTCCACATTTTTCTGATGGAGAAGTTGAGTATCTTGAAACCGTATGAACTCTTGATAATGTTGGAGTTGTTGAGTTCAGAGTTCAGTAATGGACTACTGAAGATGAAGTGTGTCAAAAGAAGAAGGCATAGAAATGGGAGGAATGTGAGATGAGGGAGCAGGAGCATGAGGAAAGGTATTTCGGCACTGAGATCCAGAGAAAATCCATCTATCTTTACCATGCACCGTAGTGAACTCAGGATTAGGAAGAGGTTGAGGTGGCATGCCTATAATATCACTCATGACCAAGCAATACCGATCATCCCTTTTAACCAAACACTTTTCCATCAGAAAAATGTGGAACAACTCTTGCAAGACGTTCTCACCATGCTCTGCTCTCGTCATCAGTAATCTTGTGAGTTGTAGCCCCCTACACTTTTTATTTTCTATACATTGGGGACCATGTAAATATTTAAGCTTGGGGTGTTATTATGCATGGCATCTTATATCATTTTTACATTTGCATATTGCATCTCATGTTTAAATGGAAATGTATCATCTTAACTCTGAGTTCTATTTTTGTTCAGTGACATTTTCTAAGCATACCGTGAATATCTATTTGTGACTGCTTGTTGGTAAACTTCACACACTACACAGTGAGATTTGACACTTAAGGAATATAACTTTTGAGATGTACATAAATGATAGAAAATATTTTTTTTGTTAGATTTCTATGGTGACACTCACTGCACTTGCTTACTAGATAATTGTCTGTCAAAAAACTAAAAAAAAATTGAAAAAAATTGAAAAAAAAATTGAGTGAATAAATTGATACCCTTTGAGACTATATGTTACTGGGGAAGAGACACTGCTTTGAAACTGAGTGTGGCAAGAAAAAGAGAAAACAATTGAGTGGAAGATCCATGCTTAGTTGACAGGTAAGTGTCTTCTAAGTGAGGAACCTAATAGAAAATCCTTTTAAAGAGAAACTAAAATTCCAAATATTATCTGCCTTGATGTCTAGTGTCATACCTGAACTAAGTAATTGCACTTAGGGACTCAATAAGTTAGTCATTATTCTAAAAGCATTGTGAATTGTGTGCTTGAGGAATATCATTATTTGAACTGAACTTAAGATGAGAGGGTATATTTCCATTTAAATTCATTCATCATTCTGTGTACATTATCATTCTGTGTTAGTTGAATTCTCTTTGCTTGAGGACAAGCAAAAGTCTAAGCTTGAGATATTTTGATGTATGAATAAAATGCAATTACATTCATATCTTAGTTTAGGTCATTTGCATACACAATTGCATTAATTGAATGATTTCATCATGCATATCTTTGTTTCGGATCATACATTTGGATTTTGTGTTTTTCTTGTAATTAGTGATTCTAAGTGTCAAAATCACAACTTGGGAAGAATTAATGTCCAAGATGCAGCGATGAAATAAGAGAGTTCCACAACCTAGCTGTGGACAGTTCCACAACCTGTGAATTTGGCTCCAAATTACAGAGGCAAAAGAGAGAGTTCCACAACTGAGCTGTGAAAGTTTTCACAACATGTGGATTTATCTCGAGAGAAATAGAAGGCAAAACAAGAGTTCCACAAGTGAGTTGTGGCTTTTACCACAACTTGTGGATTTACTTCAGGAAGTGCATAATTGAAATCAAAGAAGAGCACAAGCATATTGTGGATTTTTCCACGAGTTGTGAAATTTTTCAGAGCAGTTACTAACCTTTCATATTATGTAGATTTAAAGAGATTAAAAAATAGAGAAATGAAGGGCAGTTACTTAGAGGGAGTAAACACTCTCCTAAAAAGGGGAATGAGTCGAAAAGTGAAAAGAGGATTTTGGGACGTGATTTTGGAAGGGGGCGGACATAAAAAAGGACGGAACACCTTCTACACTGCTTCTTCTTCTTCTTTTGAGTTTTTCTTCAGAATTTTTACATTATGCAGAACTAATTTCCTTTTTGTTAGAGGATTGATGTAAAACTTTTGATTATAATTTCTGAACCTTTTTAATTGATGTTTAGTAATTTTAATTATCCTAGTGTTCTATTTATGTTCTAATGTCTATTCTATGAGCAGTTTCACAATTGGGAAATTGGGAATTATTTGCGATTATAAATAGAACAGATTAGATGTTGTCACAATTGAAAAATTGAACACAACTAATTAGTTTGCAATTGAGATAATAATTGTTCTTCATGATTTTATTGAATTTTCTAACTTACCTAAGGGATTGGGGGTTAGAATTCAATGGATAAGTTTGGCTGTCTAAGGAATTAAGGGTAAACAAGCTCTTAATAAACTCAAGTGGGTAATTATAATTGACACATCAATTGGAAAGGGGAAAATTTATATGAAAAGGTATGAAATCAATTTTTTAACATTGTTTATATTATTTGAATTCCCATCAATTGTTTATGTTCATCATTTCACTTAATATTTTTTGTTGCTCAAAATTACGTGAATTAGTAATCTAGTACTCAGCTTATTCAATCCTAGAGGATGATGTTTTATTACTACAATAACATCTTCCATTGTATATTTAGTATGATGGTTTTAACTTGTCACTGTTGAGTAAAATAATGCCTATAACATAAAGAAAGGAGGGGAAGTGGGGAGGGGAGCACAGGGCCCAGAATCACGTTTTATAAAAGCTTACCAGATGACGCTCAGTTTTACAGTATGGCTGTATAACAGGAAGACCAAGAGGAGTGGTCCAACTAACAGGATGATTTTCGGAAGTAATCACCTATCAAAATTTTAAGGTCCCACCATTCAGGAATAGAAAGAAAGCTTGAAAACATGCAGGAACACACACAACAGTGCCAAAATTTGAAGTTTAACATGGCTGAGACCAAACCTTTGCACAATCACCAAGCCAACTCATGATGACACGTGCAGCTCCAAAAATTTCTCCAAGGGCAGTTAATGTCACCTATAAAATGATTATCAGAATATAACTACACAAATCTGTAATAACAACTAAGCAAAAAGAACAAAACAGAAAAACGAAAAAGATTCACTTAACCAAAAAATACAAAGAGAGATATCTCTAACAACTAATAGAAAAGATGCAAAGAGAAATATCTCTAACAGGAGACTAGAGCAGATTTATTGTATAAGCATTATTTTGCATGTTGGTTCACATGTATTTCCTCTCATATTACAGTTAGATTTAGTAAAACCAAACCCATCAAGAAATAAACACAGAGATAGTACCAAATAAACAATTCTCTAAAATAATCAATTTGATCATAAAACTATATCTAGGTTTCATATTGATCAGGTTTAAAAATTAATATTGTATACTATAAGCCATGAAACACGAACATGGCTATTCAATGGCATGTCTTTGTGTCTCTTACTCCGCTGAAATGTCAAATTTAAAAACATATTTTGCAGCTTCGACACGGCTTTTAAATGGTTCCAACACAGCTATAATGAGGTTAGACATGGTGATTTTTCCAGAAGTCGGAAAATTATTGCTAAAGTTTGTGCTACAATTATAGAGACAGAGTAAATCCTATACAAAAATAATATCAACATTGTATATATATTAGTAGGAACATTGTTTTATTCTCATATTATATCTCCCGTATACTGTGGAATTCTTGAAGTTGCTAATTTGTTTTTAGATGAACGTTAGTTAGAGGGTGTCTTTTTAGGTGAAATGTCCTAAATGAACTAAATCATTTTTTAGATTGTAGATGATTGATCAGGTTCATTCTTGTATTAGACAACAATGTGTTTAGATTGTTAAATTCGACTAACTTTATTCTAAATGATTTTAAAAATATAAATTTAAATCAGTCCTGATATGTGTATATATATGTGTCCCAGTCGCCGTGTCCAACATTTTAGAGACTATAAATGTTGCTGTGACTGTCTTTATCGTGTCCATGCTTCATAGACTGTAAGTGTTTTAGTAGGGTATAATCTCCCAATGATGCAAGGATAGGAAAAACACATTAAATCAGCTATTGCACTTTCTAACAGCTAACATAGGTCTGATAACATGGCTGAAACTTACTTTAGCAGCATAGCAAGCTGCAGTAAATAAAAGTTGTTCATCATTAATAAGGCCTTTCTCCTGTAATATTCTCTTCATTTGCTCTCGTGCACCAACAAAAGTAACACCATAAACCGAGGTCATCACCGTCTGCTTGACCAGCTTTCTGTCAATCTGAAAGTTACCAAAAGTTGGGTGAATGAAAAGAAGAGATTATACCTAATTGGAGGAACATATATTTTAATTAATATTGACCTGATCAATTAAAACTCTTGCCAACAAAGCATTTGGATAGACAGCTGGATCTTTGTTACTGTCCCTTCTCATAATATCATGAACCCTGCTCAAATATTCAAGTAAAAATTAGATACTGATTATCCACAGTAAGTTGGTAAAATTAATTGTATAGTGCACTTAGTACTTTGTTGGGGTGTAGACAAACTACTACTTGTATGATAATATAGTAAGTATATTCAAGCAAAGTAGGTCACGAGGTAACATATTTTAACCAAAAAATCTATATGACTGATATTAGTATTTCAATGCAGTTATGAAAAAATGCATTTTGCATTCAGACTTCAACAAGGGATTAATGTAATGATTATGAGCTTGAAATAATATACCCTGAAACAGTGGTTTGAATGTGAAGTGTATAAGATGCTGATAATGGATTTAACATACCTAACAGCAATCTCTGAGTAAACGTCAGCTGGTCTCTCACTAGCCACCAAGTTAACAGCAGCAGCCTCCATCTGAAATAATTTTTATTCCAGAAAAGTCAGAATAGAAAATATTATAGAATAATTAATCAGTTTAATTGCCCTTCTTATCAAAATAATTTATGAAAGTGAACACATAAATACTTAATAACTTAGATAAACAGATTCATGTGCTCCTCTAATTGTTGTGCTTTGGTTGCAACTTTAGATTGACTTCTCGCTAACAAACACTTTAGTTGCTGTTGAAATATAATCAGTTATTCAGTATTGAAATTACAGGTCCAACTGACTCACGTGTCCGGGAAATAGAGAGTCTGTATAAAGCATATCTATCTTTTAAGTAGATTAACAAGAAGAAAGAAGAGTCCTCTATAACACAATAAGTCAGAAGGCTGCTCTGACTCATCGGAGTTCATGATTAACAATTGGGAGAATGGGGAAGAAACTAACGATAATAAAATATTATTGATAAAACACCAATTGTAATAGATGGTAAATAGACTTAAATAACACCATGTTACAGAAATTACAGCAATTTCATGCTGTTCTAAAGTTCAGAAACTCATATAGAGGCTCTGCGAGTCCAGAAACTGTCTAACAGCACACATAACTGTCTCCTAACACTCAAACATAAAAGTGAAAATGATAACTGCTCCATAAACTGTCACATATCAGTTATTAAAACTGAATTTTGGCATTACGGTACAGTCAAACCTCCCCAGCTCTTTATTGGTGATTATAATGAAATTCTGCACATTAGTAAAACAACAAAGTTGGAAGAATCAAGCCGTGAGTTTAACACGAGCCTTCAGAGAGCCATTGGTAGACTATACCCTACATGGTCTTGGGTACATAGGACATTCTTTCAAATGGTAAAATTGAAGAAAGGCTGACAGAAAAGAATGAAAGTGAGTAGATCAAGCTACAGCTACAGTTTCTTGATGAGCTATTTTCCATAGATGTGGTCAAACATGTGGAAGCCTCTACTTGAGGTCATGATTCTATGCTACTAAATAGTCAAGGTCAACCAAGGGTATCCAGGCTCCTAATTTTCCTAGAATAAACTTTCCAAATAGTGGATCGTTGTGGCCTAGGTGGTCTTAATGCTTATCAATTATATTGCCACAACATAGTTGTGAATAATGGTCATACTATTGAATATAATACCAAACAAAACGAAGGTAAAAACATTGTAAAGCACCCAAAACAAGAAAGTATACCATTTTACATTGAACAAGCTATGTTAAACTCCAAAATAACACTAACATTTCAAAATATAGTGACAAAAATAAACTAATGAAGAAAACTATAGAACAATGAATCATACTAAAATTGTTACAAAATTGAGGAAGTACAAACTTATGGGAACAAATAGAAGGGATTATTTCAAGAGTAATGAGTGATTTCAAAATCAAAACGGGATATAAGTAGACTTACAGAATCTCTTCCCAAAGCAGCATAGTGTTGTAAGCCATTACAGGAACCATCCTAAAATTCATCAAAGTAGTGTTGTTAGCAATTTTTTAAAAAAGATACCAGTAAAAGTGATAGGAGACCAGTGTTTAAGAGAGTGTATGTAAGGGCTATCAGTGGACATACAACTATTACCTAATAGTTTATAAATAGGAGGATAAAGGATGGTAGTTGGAAGTTAGAATTGATTCACAAGTTTTAAGAAGAGATCTCTAGAATACCTTATTGTATGTGTAGGTAACATTGACCAATAGACATTTGATGAAAATGTAGGCTCATTTCCTAGTTATTTTCTTCAAAATCTTCCATTCTGCCAATTGAATCCTATCAATCGGTATCCAAGAAGAACAATCCAACAATTTTTTTTATGGTTTGCAAGAACTGAAGATCTAGAGAGAATTTTGTAAAGCGGAGGAATGGACACAAGTACCACTTCAACAAATGGGTAATCAATAAGGGAGTTCTAATCTTGGGGTGAATCGAAATGGGAACTTTAAAATGGGAGGAGAAATGTACAGGCAAAATCAAAACCAGGGAAGCAGCAGTTCATTGAATCCCAAAACAGGAGATTTGGCAACTGAGGAATGACTTAGGAAGGCAGAACTATCCCGTTCTGAAGGAGATGAAGCACCAGGTTGGATAGGGAGAATTAAAAGGTATTTTTGCTTAATGAACCTTAATAAAGAAGAATAGATGCATGCAGTCTAGGTAACCATGGAGGGGAGGCACTTTCCTAGTTACAGTGGTGGGAATCTAGCACAAAGAATCTTAATTGAGGGAGTTTGGAGAAGCAATCATGAAAAGATTTCAGCCCATAATGGTAGAAAACTCGTTCAAATTTTACTTAGAATTAAAATCTAAGATTTAAGTGAGCCCATCAAGGATCTGTAAGCCCTATTCATTGAATGAGACGATGATCTTTGCACTTTTGATTCATGACCATGCTTATATTGTTGAAAGAAGAAGCAACAATCACCAATCTCAGGCATTATAGATATCCTCATTTTCAATAATCTGAAATTGAGAAGCTAGTAATTGATAGTAGTAAAGAAGAAGGATGAAAGTTGGCATTTTTGTGTGGAATATAAATAAAGCATTAAACAAGGTAACAATTCCTAATAAATTTCCTATCCCATCTAATTGATGAATTCTTGAATATGTGGGGTGCAGTAATTTTTATCAAGTTGGATCTTAATTACGACAAAATTAGAATGAAGGAGGAGGATATACCTAAAACAACTTTTAGGATGAATGACAATCACTACGAGTATTTGATAATGCATTTTGGCCTAACTAATGCACCTTTTACATTCCAAGCTTTGATGAATGATATTAAACCATACTTAGGAAATTTATGTCAGAATTTTTTAATGATATACTAAAATATAACAAAGATGAGGAAAGTCATGTGACACAATTAAGGAAGGTCTTTCAATTATTACAGAAGAATGAATTGGGGGTAAATAAAAGGAGGTGTGATTTTGGGGTATCAGCTGATCCAAAGAAATTGAAAGAAATGCTAAATTAGGCAATTCCAAAGGTACTAAAAGGGCTGATGATATTATTAGGAATGCACGCTACTATAGGTGCTTTGTAAAAGAGCATGGGGCGATTGCATGGCCTCTTACGGAACTACTCAAGAAAGACCACTTTCTTTGGTCTGATGAGGCTGAAAATGCTTTCAATTAGCTCAAAGTATACAATGGCTTCACCGTTTTGGCTGCCAGATTTCTCCAAACCACTTACTGTTGAAACTAACACTTCAAGTACGAGAGTGAGGGAAGTGTTGTTAAACTAAGGAAGACCAGTTTCCTTTTTCATCCAACCACTATCTCCAAGGGTCCAATAAAAATCTGCTTACGAAAGACAGTTATTGGCCATTGTGATGGCAGTGCAGAAAAAGGGACATTATCTTCTTGGTCAGCATTTTACCATAAAAATAGAACAGAGAGCTTGAAATTTTTTGTTGACTAAAGGGTTATTGGGGAGGATCAATTTGAATGAACTTCCAAATTTCTCGCTTTTGACTTTGAAGTACAGTACAAACTGGGAAGTTTAAATAGAGCAGTCAATGTTCTCTCCAAGCATATGATGTATCATCTTTATCAGGGTTAAATTTGGCTGAATGAGAGGTGTGGGAGAAGGAAATTGAAGCAGATGAAGGAACGAGACTGATTATACAAGTCACATTGTGGACACAGCCCCTTGCCAATTTCTCCTCTAAAAAAGGATTGTTATTCCACAAAGATCAATTGGTGTTGCCTGAAAATTTTTCCAGGCATCCTACCATTTTATCAAAATTTCACTCATCACCCCAATTGGCATTCAGGTTTTGTTAGAACCTACAAGCAAATTTCAATACTTTTTTATTAGGAAGGTACCAAGACTGACATCAAGCATTTTATAGGCAAGTGCAATACTTGACAAAACAAATCATACTGTCCTTTTATCAAAATATTAAACCGAAAGCTGGACACATGACAATGATTTTCCAATATGAAGAGCCTACCATCGTTGTAGAATTTCTTTTTATCTATTCTGACTTTTCTTATGGTTGTATGTTACTATTTAGATACCATAATTTCTATTAATGATCTGGCAGAAATTTTCTACGTATCATAAGCCCACAGGGGTGCTTGGAGTTGGTTTGATCACTTATAAAAAAGTAGTCTACAAAGATAAAACATCTTATCTAAGGCTTCCAATGAAATACCTGATGAATAGGCAGGTGTGAAAGAACAGAATTTGGTGACGAGCTTCTTAAGCCTTCTGACAGATTAATACAAGCAGCAAGGCACTGGAAAGGATCCTCGGCACCTAACCACCACCGATTTCCATTAATAGGGTTATCAGCAGAGTCAAATATATCATGGAGATGATTCTCTACAAAAGCCAGCCGTTCATCATAAGACAGCTTTTCAATACCACCAGCATATAAATTTGCCAAGTGTATTTTTAGCCAGTGTAGTCCAGACTTTCCTAATGGGCGCCCTTCAGCAAACTCAAGCAATCCTCGACATAGATCACAACTTAAATGGTTCAAATGAGAGTGCATGGGATATGCTCTACCACGGAAGTCAATATTGTGGGGATAATAAAAGCCTTCCTCCTCTTTCATTTTCTGAGCCACCTGTTTCAGATGATATTGTAATTATTATTCAGTAAGTGAAACATGGAATAGAAAATAATTATTGAAAATTTAGTTGAGATTATGAAACTCATGATCAAATGGAAACAACATTCTAGTATGGAAGATCAAGACAAGACCATAGGTCACTGATGTAACATATAAAACTGGAATTTTCAATTCTTCAAATCATAAAATAGAGAAGTACTGATAATTGGAGAGGTCTTACAGAAAGCTTGAGTTCCGTGTCACATCTTAGAGAATGTCTCTCTAGATTAATTTTCTCTGCCTTCTTTACACTCCACTTCCATTCCTGAATTTGTTTTAATTCCTCCAAACGTGGCTTCTCTGGTATAGGAACCTACAAGTCAATTTAAAATATATACATATATATATATATATATAGGTTAGACAAATTACATAGAATAGGAATGCTGAAAACTCGTCATACTTCAAGCATTTGGTGAAAAAGGGAGGAAACATACAGGTGAATATATTTAATTAGTTTATGTTAAACATCCTTTCATTTATTTATCTTTTCCGTCTAATTTTTAAAATAAATTGAAAAACAGAAAAAATACCTATAAAGACATCTCTAAAAACAGAAATACATACTGTTTATGCTTACATCTTTCCGATCTATCAAACCTGCAATGTTACCTCCTGCAGCCCAGAGGTACTCCACAACACCAAGTACTCTTCCATTTACTCGCCATTTGGTGTTGCCAAGTGTATCCAGGGCCTACAAAAATTTGTCATTAAAAAAAATAAATAGGTTAAGCTTATACACCAGGAGCATGGTACCAAAATAAGACTAAAGAAGAAAGTGTTGAAAAGAATTGTGCCTTTGTACAAGGAAAATTAAAAAGAATGATACCCAAATAAGATTTTAAGATATAAATTAACTGCTCAATCCAAAGCACCTTTAAACGTAGGAGACTACAAAAATTGAAAGTTAAAGGAAATTAACAATAGTATTTCATAAAAAAATTGGAACCGCTCATTTGGAATATTGCCATGTTACTTTTATAAAAAGAAAATGTTATCTAAATGTTGTGTCAAATGTGAACCATAGTATGTATTATGCCAATTTATAGAATAAAATTCAATGGGAAGGAGGGTAGTCTAAAAAAAAGGTGAGTTTAGAAGTAATATACACTTGAAGTTGAGGATAAAAACAATGGTAGCCCTTAGGCACGGGTAACCAAGAAAAATACACTTCAGATATTTGGCAGAAAGTTCATCTTTACCTCGACTAAGGTCATGGAAACATGTGCAACCAAAGATATGAAGAGATATAGAGTAAAGACCTCTAGTTGAATATAAGAGAGAATGCATAACCTAATTATTAAGGGTAAAGGAAAGCATGCAGTAAATAACAGGTTATGAGAATCACATCACCCTAGAAGCAAAGATGAACATTGTGGCAACGAAAGATATGGGCAATTTCAACCGAGTGTCAATTCCTTCTTTCGATGACACCATTCTGTTGTGTTATGTGAGAACAAGATGTTTGATGAAGAATACTCTGATACTCAAAATAGACTGAAACTAGCAAGACATATTCACAAGCATTGTGAATGCATAAAATTTTAATAGAATTGCCAAATTGATTTTGAATTTCAATTGAGAAACTTTGGAATTCAGAAAAATCATCAAAACGATTTTTCACTAAGAATAACCTGTACATCAAGAAAAATCATCAATAAAAGTAATAAAAACCCTAAGTTGAAATAACACAACTACGACCCAAATATCTTAATGAACCAAGACAAAAGGAAAGGAAACAATTTTATTAACTTGAGCATCATAGGTATGATGAGTGTGTTTTCCTAACTGGCAAACTTGCATTGAAAGATTGAATTGTGAGAAAAACTTACAACCATAAGATAAATTTTGGTAATACTAGGATGGCCTAAGTGTCTATGCTCAAGAGATTGAGACACAATAGAAATACAAGAAATTGATTGTGACAGATAGTATAATCCTCAAGACTCATGTCGTACTCTAGTTATGTGTCCAGTATGCTAATCCTAAACAAGAACAAAAACAAAGTGAACAAATAAATTTTGGGTGCTATTGAGCTTACTTATGGAGATTAAATCAAAAGGATGCCTAGGAATATAAAGCTCAAAATCATGGAAGTGGTTGTGTTCAACCAATGTTATGATTTTATTTGAGTCTTCTACCATGGTAGCAACAGGTAAAGAATCCAAATAAGATAGATCATAGAAAAGGGAATTGTTACCAAACATACGATCAAATGCATTAGAGTCAAGCATCTAAGGTCCAAGGGAGGAAGACAAAGAAACAAAGGCTACAGGATTACTAGATTGAGCAACTGTGGCAACAGGTTGTCTATGTTACATGGCTGCCTTGTATTGGAGATACTCATGGTAAGCATCAACAAAAATTGAGAGACCACCAAATGCTCCTGGATAAATGACTTGAGAAAAATTAGTGATCTTGAGTTGATGTCATGCCTTTGTATGTCAGTCTACCTCAATATGGCCATATAATTGACAAAAGTTGCAATGACAATGTCGGCCACAATTTCCACTTCGTCCACCTGGTAGGTAAAGTGGGAGTAAAAGGCAAACGAATTGAAAGTTCAAGAGATTGCCCAAACATGTGAGAAACTGCTAAGCGAACTAATTGTTGACTAACATTATCATAAGATGGAACAACAATGTAAGATAATATTTGATTGTAAACAAAATCAAATTCAAGAGGAAGTTCAACAATAGACCGAACTATAAAAAATTTCCACGATGTTGAGATGTTTGCCGCATCATTAGTGAAAGGAATCACTAGATCAAAATCAGAAATTAATCAATGGAGCTTACCAAGAAAGCTTGTATATCATGGTTTTCCAGCTTTATAGAAACAAGGTTGGAGATAACGTTGTTAGTCGATAGCATCATTGGAGTAAACTCTCTTGGCTTTATTCCAGACATCATAATAGATAGTAAAATCTTGGTTTTGGGCTGCAATTTAACATCAATGGAGAGCTAGAGAACACTACACAGAGTTACCCAAAGCTACCACCTAATTTGTTTAGTGATAGGAATATCTTTGGCCTGTTTGGTCAAGTGGTTGTCATGACCTTGACCCAAGAACCACAACTTGACAGCAGCAGCCCAAGAGCTGCAGTTGCTTATCCTGGTCATTTTTTCACATGGAATCAGCAAAACAATGGTAAAAGACACTGCAAAACGGTTCTTTAAAGGGAACTGTTGGAAGTCATGGGAACGAACCTAAAAGGGACACCTAAGTGTGACTAGGTATGAGGAAGGAGGCAGAAGGCGTATAGTATATTACAGGCACGTGCAACACACGCCTGGAAGAAGCTGCTTGTGTGGGTATGTGAGACACTGGAATGGAGTGATGAAAAAAGCTCGGTGGCTGCCAACGGAGGGTGATTCTGGTTGCTAATAGTCACCAAAGGAAAATAACACTAGGTGATGGAGGGAAAGGGCACACAGTGGCTGTGGGTAGAGTTCACCCAAGAAAAAAGAAAAGAAAAGAAAAAATAGGAGCCTTTGATAAGTCAATATTTTATTGATTTCACTTAGTTTATTGTACCAGATTTAATCAGGGAATTGTGCTTAAATGTCCGGTATTTTTTTCGTTTTTGCTAATTGTGCTTAATTTGACCAAAAATTCTTATTTTAATTAATTTGAATTATTTGAGCTAATTATTTTCATTATTAATTGTAGGAAAATTATTGGATAATATTTGGGACATTTTGGAGGTCAAAAGAAAATGTGACATCAATTTTGTTTAAACTAAAAAGCAAAGAGGAGGTGGAGATTAAATTATATCTTGGACTTCACACACGGACTAGGCACTTGGCTATTGGTCCAGCAGCATGGATTTGAGCAGGTGTGTTTGGAGAGAATGGGAGGTGCAGCAAAAGGAGACAGCAGGCCTTCCAGTGGAGTCCAGCAGAGCGTCCAACATGTTTCTTCATGGTCCAACAGCCACGTTGAGGAGAGAATTCCACGGTCCAGCAACACAGCAGCACGGAAGGAAGCAGCAGTTGCCACCTAAGGAGGAAGTAATCTTTCATTTAAGGCCTTCACACGTCCAGCAAGAAGCACACGAACGGCCCACAAATTGAAGTTTTGGTTTCTTTATTGCCTTCAAGTAGGAGCAGCTTTGGATATACACGTTTTGAAGAGGAACTCACGTGTCCAGCTGGCTGGGAAAGAGAATGCCACGGCCCACAATGGCAGCACATCCAACAGCCCAGCAGAGTGGAAGGCAGCGTCCACGCTGGATCAGTTGAAGAAAAGCAATGGAAGGTAGCATCCAGCAAAGGGCTACACCACGAAACTTCATTTTCTGCTTGGAGAAGCGTTGACAGCAGCTTGGTCCAGTAGAAGCCTTCAAGTTCAGCAGCTTGGAGGGAGCGTCCAGCTTTCCAGGAGCATCTCGGTCCAATCCAAGCAGCTCCCGGCCCAACACAACAACAAGAAGCAGCAGTCCAGCAGCTTGGCACAAGGGGCCCACGGACAGATTAATCTGGAGCAGCAAGCTTGGGGTGTGCACGGTGGAGAAGCAAGTCCAGCAACACACGTAAGGGCTGGACAGATGGCACATGAGGGTTTAAAAAACCTGTGGAGTTGAAAGAAAAAAAGGGAGTTGGACGTGTGAGGCATCCAGCCGCCACCTAGAGTTTTTTTTGGTTTTCTTTGCTTTGAAGAGGGGAGCAGTACGTTGAGAGAATGGAGGGTTACGGTTGAGCTGGAAGAGTTGAGCTGACACATGGAGAAAGGAACGTGAAAGAGGGGAAGTTCACTCATTTTGTTCTATTCCATGAACGTGTTTTCACTTCTTATAGTAGCTTGAATGTTGTTCTATTTCTCTTCTTGAGCTGCTGGAATGTACTGTTATTTTATTAGCACATCACTGAAATTTTACTAGCATTGGCTTATCTTTGCAATTCAAGTTCTTTACTCAGCTGAATGAGAATCTTATTTCCGCATACTTAGTGTTGAATCTTATTGTCAGGAGCTTGGTTTTTCTTTGAGCAACTTAATTAAATGAGAAGAGAATTTGGTTTTGGCTTCTTTTCTTTACGTGAAGGATAAGAGTTGGTAGAATACTTTAGCACTTGATTTTAGATTGTAGTTTAATCATAGGAGAAGTAAGTATGTTTACTTGTGGAGAGGATGAGAGGCCACGGTTTTTTTTTGTTTGAAGAACCTATTTCCTTTTGTTTTATTTTATTTTATTTTTTTCTTTTGAATGAAATACATGGAAGCTCAACATATTATGGTATTTAGGAATTTTTAGAAATAATTTCACTTTCAAAATTTAATTTCCGTAATTGTGCGTCTCTGCAATTTACTGTTCCGCATTTTATTTTCACTGTGATTTCGATTTTTACTGTTTAATTTCGTTTTTACTATTTACTGTTTTATTTTTAAGGTTTGTTAATTTACTACTTTCAACATTTACATTTTCCTGCACAAAAACAACCATCAAATCCCCCCATTACGTGTTTGATCTGAGACTGAACCCAAATTGGTCCTTGAGAGACGACCTAGGAGTCACTTCCTAGTAACTATACTGCATTCTTTTATGCACAACTTTTGTGGGAGGTGCGACCCTCTCATCAGCTTTCTGCAGATCAAAAACCTAAACTACTGGGTACCACAATATTAAAAAAATGTTATGAGTGTTGTGTGACAAATGCAAACAACATGGTATGTATTTATATCAATTTAAAAAATGAAATACAATAAATTCTTACATGATAATCAGGAATCAATGATTAATTTCCTATAATTTGTAACAGCTAATGCCTAATTACCTTCTAAGAACTTTCATGGTAATGAAAAAGGGAAATAAAAATTTATATAAAGTACCTCAAAAACTTTTCGCAATTGTTTCCTCCCAACATTCTTCATTACATCTTGCTGCTTCTTGGATCCATGAGTGCGCATGATATAAGATGTCAAGAACAAATAGCCACCATTTTCATACCTGGAAAGACTGTGGTCAGATACTAGACATGCAGTCTTATGAAAGGAGAGAGAAGCGCCTAAGAATTTAAGGTTGTAAAGATGATGTAAAATTGCTTCTAAAAAGAAATGGCTATAAGTTGTTAAGTTCGCTGTTCAACTCAAATTTGTTATTCTCAATTGAGACCTAATGAAAAGATTAAAAAATACACATATTTTTAATGGATTAAACCATACAAAGGATGAGTGAATATATAGATACAAGAACCCAAAAATAAGGGGGGAATGAAATAAATCTATCCTAATTAAAATTGTACAACGAATTTCCTATAAATAGGCTAATTTCATAAATACAAATCAAATTATAATCTCAAATACTTCCTATGAAAACATAATATCTAATGTGGACCATCTGTGTTACATATAAAAGAAGAGGAAGTAAAATGTTTGAAGCAAGAAGCAAAAGCCATAGAAGTTTTGAAGATAGTTTTTGCTCTTCGTAAGTTCCAAACATTGAAGATGGCAAGCTAGCCCAGGACCTAGATGATAGTGATTAGAGAGTAAATCCTAAAATCCTGGAAAACAAGATTCTATTATACAATTGATTAGAATCTTGAATTAATTGATTATGTAATGTAATCTTGAATTTCAAGGAAAACATGCTGCTTGGAATGATAGATTACAAAACAATCATAAACAGTTACAAGCAAGAAAATCAGTTACAAAGGTAAAACCATGAACAATGGTAATCAATTGCATAAGGTAAAACGTAACTCAGTTAAGTATATGAGCTCTAAGTTGTAATTGGTTACAAGCGAGATAATTTCACACAAGGAAAATATTTTTAAGTCAGAATTAAGGTGTTCTCTATTGTAATTGATTACATAATCTTAGAATAGTTTCTGGAAAACCGGTATGAACATTAAGAACAATGTAACCAATTACATCTGTCAACGTATGATCTCATAAATAAATGTTAGTTCTACCACACATGATACACAAGTCGATCCATAATTACACCTGGAAAAGAGAGATAGAATGTTTGGAGAGATTAGATAGATGTGCATGCTTCTGTAGATTTAATCCTTCCTATTTTTACTTACAAATTTGTGTAAAGAGTTGGGAGCCGAATTTTGTGTTCCAGCTAAGTGGATTGTGTTCTTGAGATAGGTAGTCTCAAGGGGTACTAGATAAGGTGTCTAAGTGATTTGGTTGGAGTGGATCAGGTTGTGACAACTGTACACATAATATTAATTATAGTGGAATCCTACAATCAAGTGTTGATTGTTCAAGACTGGTGTAGTTTAAGAGTTGAAATTGAATCAGTATAAAAAGGGTTGTGTGGTCTATTTTGTCCAATATTTTTCACTTTTTTAATCTTTATTCGATTAACTGGAGATTTGCTTAAATTCTTGAAGAGATCATTAAAGGTTCCTTCACTGCTCAGTTCAAACTTGTAAATCAATTCATTTGAGAAATAAAGGACGTTTTACAAAGTTTTCCCTTTTCAAAAAGATCTAGGGGTATAAGTTTTTCAAGTTTAAAATACCACCAATTCAAATCCCATTCTTGAAGACATTTATATTCATTTACTTACACTAGATATAACAATTCCTGTCTTTTACTTAGCTACCTATAGAAGTACCACAACCAACCTAGATTTTTTGTTTGGAAATGATACAGTCCGTATTCTTTCAGTTTAGCACTCCTGTTATGATCATGGCATGTAATGACTATATGAACATAAACAACCAAATAAAAATATTGTGTAAAGGAGCACACTTAAAAATGGAGTAGTCTACTGCACTCCAAATCAGGGGAAAATGCTAGATAACTACTAAATTTTATAAAGCATGCTTGAGGGGACTATTTGAGACTATATGAAACCTTGTAAAGAGAATGTACATCCATGTGATTTCCCTGGGCAACAAAACCATTTGGCTGTTCCATTACCTCTTCTAAGTTTCCATTAATACAGGTCATTTTCATATCTAGCTGGTACAATTATCAATGTCACATGGCTTCCATAGAAAGAAAGAAATTAATACAGGTCATTTTAGCCACATGGAGTATCATTATAGTCAAGGGCAAACATGTAGGTATAGCTTTTAGCCACCAAATGAGCTATCATCCTATCAATTACCCTGTCTAGACCAACTTTTACAACATAGACCCAGTGTCATCAAACGGTACAATCTCCAGGAGGAGAATGAATAAGGGTCCACATTTGGCTGGAGCCTAAAATTGTCATCTAATCAATCATAGTCTATTGCCAATCTGGATGCGAACGAGCAGCAGAGACTTAAGAGTAGTGACATAAGAAAGAATGAAGACACAGGTATAGTGCAGAGGAGAAAAATAGTGATAAACTAGGGAAATTATAAATAGAAGAGAAATGGATACCTTTATAAACTGGAATGCAGATCTGTTAATAACTCCAGAAAATCCATAGTAGAAGGTTGGGACAAAAGACAACTCAAGTGAGCTTTCGCAGGAGATATCTCAACAAAGACATTACACAAACGACACTCATGAGTTATCAAGGGACAAGGAGTAGGATTGCCTTTATGAATATAATGGAGTTGACCTATCCGGGACAGAAGTAGATGGACAATTGAGGTGAGTCAAAGAATAAGTAGTGCTTGAGAAGCAGGAAAGGAATACCTTCAAAGAAATTGATAATTTCTAACATGTAAAAATGATGTGCAGAAGGACAGTGACATTGATACCTCTAAACTCTAGAATAGTCAAGGAAAACATGTTTCACAACACAAGCAAAATAGTTTGTCAAGTCTTGGACTAAGATCAAGAACAGAGCAAGTGGAGCCAAAATCCTGAGGAGGAATACAAACCATGGATTCATCAGAAAACAATACAGAATGAGGCACCTTGTCTTGATTAGTGGAAGATAGCATTTCACTTATAAAAAGTGAAATAAGGACAATATTTCCCCAAAACTTCAAAGGCGAAATAGTACTCATAAGTAAAGTACATACAATTTCCATAATATAACTGTTTATATTAATAATACCATTTTATTGAGTATAAGGACAAAAACACAAGTATTAATCCACTATTGACCATAAAAGAAATACAAGGAGTTGAAGAATACTTTTTTTTGCATTATCACTACGTAGAATATAAATAGAACAATCAAACTAATTTAGAATTATTTTAAAGAGTTTTTTAGTTACACCATATAATTTTGATAAAAATCCACATGTATATGGAAAACTCACCAATAATGGTTACAAAAAACCCATCCTAGAACAAGTGACACAACCTTGACATCGTACGTTAGAGTGAATAACAGCAAAAGGAGCATAGTTTGTGACTAGACACTGCAAGGATACCAAGAAAAAAAAATGTTTTTCAAGCTGACAAGATTCACACTCTAAGTACTACAAATAAGATTAATGAGGAACCCTTTCTTTAAATTTTTAAGATTATGGCTCAACCAACAACAAAGAAGATTAGGAGACCTTGTACTGGTGCATGCAACCGAGGATTAAGACTGGAGGTAATAAATCCCACGTGATTCATATCATGTACCAATTGTCACCTTATATTCCTATTCTATATAAAAATAGAATCAGAAGAAAAGTTTATAAAATAATTTTGACTACGAGTTGGAGGACTAACAGAAATCAAATTAAAAACGTAATTAGAGACAAGAACATAATCAGGAGATAAAGATGGAAGAGTGACTGACCATTGCCACTAGCTTTACCTTTTGACACACCTACAAAGTAATGTGATGAGGAGTTTTAAGTTGGGATGATTTAGAGTTAAGAAAAGGATTACCAAGTACATGATTAGAAGCACAAGAATCCATAATCAAATGGTCAACAAACGAGGATTGAGAGAGACAGCATAGAATTACGAGTATAAGCCAGTGGCTAAAGATGATGCCCTGAAGTGCAAAAACTCCTTGTACTCATCATTGGATAACATATTATGCTGTGTTCTTAGGCTCAAAGTCCACCTCTCTCCAGCTTTGAGAAGGGTTTAAACATGGCAATAACTCAAGCCAAGTCTCATTAAATCTAAGGAATGCAGATATTTCAACATGAAATACTAGTATAAGCCATTCCACGTGCCATACCCTTTCCACTCTTTTGGAGGTACTAGCATTGGCATGTAAGGCATTAACATATGCTTAACCTGCACAAAACAAATGCATAGATTAATATAAAAAAAAAAAAAAAAAACAGATTAAGATAAGGTATTGTTATCCTCTCCTTTGGGAAAGAATAAGCCCTTACTAACATTAAAAGAAAACAGATTTACAAATAACAAACAGAAGAACATGTTAGAAGAAATGTGAATGTTCAATGATTTCAAAAAAAAAAAAAAGAAACTTCACGCTTTTAACTAGGACTATCAAGAAAAGATAAAGTCCTTTAAAGCACAAAAATCTCTTCACCATGAAGTTTACACAAAGCAATTAGAATCCAGGTGTTAAGGCCCTTCTGTACCTCCACCTGAATACAAGTTCTTTAGGGGAAGGAGAGTAATAAGAAGTTCAAAACCTAATTTACAGCAGGATAATGCAATACTGTTATACACAATTATTAATTTGCTTTGCTTTCACGCTCAGTAAAATGAAAACCTTTACAACTCAGTAGGACAAATTCAACTTCAAGTTATTGTTTAAACATATCAGGAGGGTGGGGGATAGATCTCTCAACTTACAGATTTATCCATCCCAGCAAGGATTAAGGGATCACATTCTATAACACCATAATTCTTCAAAAATTTTTGCCTACAAATATCAAACAGATATTCAAAATATAACAATAAAAACACACGAGTTAAATGAAGTCACTTTGATCAAATCATTAAACACCTATCTTTGGAGATATTTTGTTGTTCACACTCTAAAAGATCTATAATTGACATACACATGAAATATGAGTCCCTCTTCAAAATGTGAGATTTTTATCCTCTCATTTTCTTTAAGTAAAGAAACAATCATACTTCATCACAATACCTTATAATTTCTGCTCGTCAATGAGAATCCTAAACTAATAATTATTGATTAAAAGCATCATAATATTCAAGCAAACAGCCAATCGCTACTTCCTCTAATCTGATAGTGCAATTCAGTTACTAAGGATTAAACTATTAAACCAATCATTATATTGATTTAATTTCTTTAGAAAAGGGTGAAGCCTCACTCTGGATTCTTTGATATAACTTTAAATCTATGCCTGAATGCTGGTTGAATATCAGGTGGAGTGTCAGCAGACTGATTAACTGGAGAGTGTACAAATGCTGTTTGAATTAATAAATCTATTAATCGACTTCCCAGCTGCAGAGATTCATAGAGTGCACTTATTAGTTCCAATTAAAACAATAAAGTCAAAGATAATTACACTCAAACATTAAAACAAACCTTAGCCTGGGTATCACGCCCCCAAGGGCCACATTCGTCCTCTTTCAATAGCATCTGAACCTGTTTAAGTCTTCTTCTTTTAATCAAGCCATTTACATGTTTCCTTAATTTTTGTGTATCATTATCCGTACAGTCTTCACGAACAACCTCTGTTTTCTTACTCTTGCGTGTTCTAGTCTTTTCCAGGAAGTTATGAATCCTAACCTATAGTACAATCAATAAGATAGCCAAAACAAATATGTGATTTATAACCAAAGTGAACAAGTAGAAAGAGTGCAATTCTTATCTCACTTCGCTATTAATGCTAGATTACAGCAACAACAACCAATAAAAGTGACACGACCACAGAAGGAAACTTCAATGAAACAGAACTCCCAGTAGTACCTTCCCTCCCCCAACAGTAAAATTGGATGTGAGAATTCCTTGACAAAGAGCCCCCTGGACTAGATACAATCTAAAAGGAGTAATTAAAGGATTGAACCTCAGTCAGTATAACATATTATTAATAGAATGTTTGGATTTCTGGTGGGAAAGAGATACACATGCTTTCCTTTAGCAACCCAAACAAAGGGTTAAGTATTGGATCATCAGAACAACTCATTTCACTTTTATTCCCAATGCCAGAAACTTCAAGTGAAAACAGTAACAAAAAGTCACAAAACACACTATCAGACTAAGGGTCCAGCAAACTTTACTGAAAACGTGAGTGTAAGGTACCATGCAAAATGCAACAGCAAAAAGCAAAAGGTTGTAAACGTGCCAATTGGCCATTCGGAAGTCCCTCACCACATATCATTTCACTATTATGCCCTAACAACAATAACAAAGCCTTATTATCTCACTAGGTGACAAAACAAATCAACACACTAAAATAAACCCAAATAAATTAAATTTTAATAAGTCAAAAACAAAACTCTTTAGGGTCCCTCAAAACTTACACGTGGACCACAAAACCAGCAGAAACAAAGATCCTGTTCGGGTGGTGGTGAGCTTTTTTGGCTTTTGGATACAATGTTCAAAGCCAAAACATGTTCTGCAAAAATGATGTTGAAATGATTAAATTTTGAATGTTTATTGAAAGATCTAAGGAGTCTTCTCAAATACTATTACTTGAAAAACAGCTTCCTACAGCTTATAGTAGTACACTTAATATCCTACTAACAACACTGTCTATAATCTATAACAAGATTCTTTCTTTAACTGTACACATTTTATATTTTTATTCTAACGTTAAATATACTTTAAAATTAAAAGAAAATAAAGGAAAAAAGAAGAATGGAAATCAACTATCTAAATGATAAAAGTAACTCCACACACTTCAACATCACAACACATTACAAATCATCAAAAACATCATAACACATTACACATTTCATATTTCTATCTTACCTTTAGTTATATTTTAAAATTACAAATAAACAGAAACAAACTATTCAAATGCTACAAGTAACTCACGCACACTTCAACAGTAGAAAACATTACAAATCACACATATCTTTTATAATCACCCAGTATTTTGTATTATTTTTTATGTAACAACCGTTATTAATATTTTTTTTTTCTTATAACATATAGATTGTATGTTTGACATTAGTAGCCATAAAATTCATTTTAAAATCTTGTAAGTTCTTATGATAAAATCCATTAAAATATTAACTACAAAATATTGATTATAACAGTCATTCAAAAAAATTCTTATAAATAGTTGCATTTTTACATAAAAATACTAAAAAGAAATGCCAAAAAAGTCTTTTAAAAAATTCAAATCTCAATCCAATACATTCTTTACCACTTTCTTGGCCAGAAATAACACCTGCCTTCAATTGATAAACCAATAAAGAGGAAGTTGACATATGACGTACCTCCTGTTCCACTGCCATACCAATCTGAACAGCAGCATCCACAAGGAGAACACAACCCGCATGATGATACTCCATACTCAGCAAACCCATCAGCTTGTGCATGACAATTACAGCCATTTTTGCCGCAGGCAATGAATCAATGTGGGGTGCAAATGCCGCTTTGTGCTTCTTCGACCTTTTTAACTTCTGCTCTGCCTCTATAGCCTCTTTAAGAGGATCAAACCACCCCAAGAATAGAGCCTTCACGTGAGGCAAATTGGGAATCAGATTCTTCTCACGCATTTCCCTCTCTAGCTCTCTGTACTCCTCCACCATACTCTCCAACGCTTCAGTCTCCATTTGAATCTGCCTCCTCCTCAGCAAATTGTGCTTCTCCTCCTCCTCAATGTCATTCATCAACAAGTCGTTCAAAATCCAAGGTGAGTCTTGGATGAAAACCCTCTGGAGTGGGTCCGGGGCCTCGGTCTGATGAAACCCAAAAACCGGTTTGTGACAATTTTCGATGTCTTGGACGAAATTGTGTCGGAATGAATCAAAGAGAATATGAAACTGAGATCTTGAGGGTTTGATTGTTACTGGAATAAGAGAGGAAGGAAAAGAAGAGGAAATGGAGGTTGGGAAGAAGAGAAAGTGATGAAGAGATTGAGATTTTGCTGGTGGGATTCCCCTGTGAGGGATTGGGGTGGGAAAGAAAGTTGCAAATTCCATTGAAAGCAATGCGTGGACAGTGCAGACATTGGAATGTGAATAACATCAAACCTTTCTAAACCCCTCCCTGTTTTTATTGTGTTTTATTTTTATTCTTTTTTACATTTTTTAGATTTTCTTTTGTTTTCTTTGAATACAATGTAGTTAACTTGTATGATAAGTTATTAAAATTTATAGAACTCATAAATAATGCATTTATAACACTGTGATATTAAATGAAATTTGTTATCATAGCTAACAATTCTTTAACTAACTTTATTATTAAATAAAATAAACGTGTTTATATTTTATATTTTCAAGATCATATCTACTAAAAGATCGCATTTCTTTATTTTATTTCAATATTTATTAAATACTTCATATTTTCTCACGATGTCTTCCTGTTAATAGTTATAAGAATTATTATATTTTTATATTTTAAAATTATGTAATAATTTTATAATATCTCTAATTAGAGTGAATAATGGAAAAAATTTATACGAGAAATCCCCATTGTCGTTTACTTTATAGAATATATATTAAGATAATTAATTAAAGTATTTTTAAAAAATATGGCAGCACTCTTTATTCACAATAATTATACCTGTAGTGGATAATTATTGTAATAAATTATACCTGTAATAAATATTTTCTACAAATTAAAATGAATAAAATATAGCCTAATCTATGTTTGTATCAATCATATATTATCAAATAAGTTTTTGTTTTGCTACATAAACAGATTTTCGAGTCATTTTCATTTCTTTCTAATCTACAAATTACAATGAATAAAATATAGCCTAATCTTCATCTTTGTTTTGCTTTCTAATTATGATAACATTTTAATTTATTATCACAAATAAGTTATTAGAAATATCAGTATAATCTAAAATAACAAGTATACCCATGTGAAGAGTGCTATGACCTTTTTGTGGAAAGAAAAGTTTAAAGTCAAATATTTGAACTATTATGTCTTTGAATAAAAGGAAAAAAAAATATATTTAGATTACTTTTTAAAGGAAAGAACCAACTTGAAAAATGATAACTCAACTTTTTTTTATTTATTTTATAAAATTAATGATGACATGTTGATCTTCATACGTTAACTCTAANGTATTTTTAAAAAATATGGCAGCACTCTTTATTCACAATAATTATACCTGTAGTGGATAATTATTGTAATAAATTATACCTGTAATAAATATTTTCTACAAATTAAAATGAATAAAATATAGCCTAATCTATGTTTGTATCAATCATATATTATCAAATAAGTTTTTGTTTTGCTACATAAACAGATTTTCGAGTCATTTTCATTTCTTTCTAATCTACAAATTACAATGAATAAAATATAGCCTAATCTTCATCTTTGTTTTGCTTTCTAATTATGATAACATTTTAATTTATTATCACAAATAAGTTATTAGAAATATCAGTATAATCTAAAATAACAAGTATACCCATGTGAAGAGTGCTATGACCTTTTTGTGGAAAGAAAAGTTTAAAGTCAAATATTTGAACTATTATGTCTTTGAATAAAAGGAAAAAAAAATATATTTAGATTACTTTTTAAAGGAAAGAACCAACTTGAAAAATGATAACTCAACTTTTTTTTATTTATTTTATAAAATTAATGATGACATGTTGATCTTCATACGTTAACTCTAAGATTATATATTGTTTAAAATAAAAAGAATTAGTGTGAGAATATTTATCTTTCGTAGCTTCTTGCTTTCTTTTTTTTCGAGTTTCTTTAGCAATTGTAATGACTTGTAAGGTCATCATTTTTTTTTGTAAGAAGTGTGTTTTGAACTCTTTCAAGTGATAATGAGTTTTCCATAAGGGTGGTGACAATTCCTTCTTCACTCTCCAACTTCATTCAAAGTTTGTGTACATTAAATATTAAATGAATCTTGAAGTTTTATTTATTTCGTCTAAGTTTGAATATGACTTGATTTGCATATACTTTTTTGTTATATTTCTCATTATTTTATTTATCTTACATTATCACAAAAATGACTTTTAACATTTGTTATTTTTGACATTTAATATTAAAATAAACTTTGATGTCTTAGTTAAAAACGTTAAATTGACAGTATTGAAAACAAACGTCATCTTAAAGATGAATAGGTAGGGAAGCATGTGACAAGAGGTCTTTATCCTGAATTTTTAGTCTTAGATGTGGAAGATTAATCATGTGAGTAGTATGGTGATAACTCCTATATATATGACTCTGTAAAATATAAATATTACTACAGGTACATACTAATATTGAATACACATGTTAAAGCATGTATCTAGGTAATTGAATCTATAGTCAATTGATTATATGTTTATGAGTTGTAGAAACATTTACTTACCCTATTATCTTTTGTGTTAGTATTTTTTATGTGCTATTCGTTTCTCGACAATATTAATGTAAGCAAATGAATAATATGTATTAAAATATATTTGGTGGAAATGATTCTTTATAGAATCTTTTTGGTTGTCTAGTAATTAATTTAGCTATTTTACATATATTTATTATTATAATTACTTTCTTCTAAATAATTATATTAATATTATATTTATAAATTAATACAAATTTATTTTATTTTATTAATTTTATATTTGTTTTATTAGTGATAAACTGTACACAAAGATCCTCTCGTCGGATAAATATCAGAGTAAGAGCTGTTAACCATGTTATTCAATCGTAATTTGTCGAATTTCTCAAACAATATAAGTATATATAATTTGCAAATGTTAACATTTAAAACAGACTTTATATATTTTATTTATTATTTATTTGAAAATAGATCATGGCATGATCATATATTGAAAACATAGGACGGTAAAATAATTATATTAGTTTGGTAGAGTTCCTCATGTAATTAAATATGCAAGTGTTTGAAAAAAGAAAAAAATGTATGAAAAAAAACACGTGGTGTAGTTGCGCTATTTTTACTAACATCATATATTAACAGATTCAAATGGATCACATTGTATTGCTATTTCTGCTGTTACTTTCTTTGTTACTTTTGACCATTCCATTCACAATTTTTCTCTTTTCCTTATCAAATGTTTATATCCATTCAAGTAAAATTACTTTTCTTAAAATATAATTATTTTTATATATACCAATTTTCAACATGAACTTAAAATCTATATAAATGTATTTACATTATTTTGAAGTAATCACCATTACCTATGTTTAGAAACCAACTTTTGATAAATATATCAAATTTTACTCAATTTTTGGATTAACTACATTACTCTGAATCCAAATATTGGAATACTGGTGTACTTTGTTCACACAAAAATTAATAATAATAATAATAATAATAATAATAATAATAATAATGATAATAATTCTTGAAATTTTCTATCGTGTTTTTATAACCATTTCAAAATATACTTATAGAAAAAGAAAGTAAAAAACAAGTTTATTTATAGTCTAAAATTAATTTATTCATAAGGTAAAAAAAGCATCGAAATAAATTATATTGGAAGTTTATACCAATTAAGTTATATATTAATTTATACATTACTCTTAATTTCATTCCCAAATTTTAGGCTAATTGGAATAATTTGATTTTGAAAAATATCTTGTCTTAATTTTAACGAAAAACAATTCCAACATGAAAGTCAGAGTAAAAGAACACGCAAAGAAATATTAATAGTAGATTATTACACAACTAGGGACTCTCTTTTTGCAATTTAAAAAATACAATTTGATGAATGTTTTTGAAGTAGCATAATGATGGGTTTCCTCCACCCAGTTTATAGCTTTTGGATTTTTTTATATTTGGTTTGAATCCTTGTGAAGCATGTGCATCTTCAATTTAACCTGTTTCAATACCTTTTTTCAATATTGATACATGGTAATGTTATAAAATTCGAACTAGTTATTATAATATATTAGTACTTAAAACACATTATTTTAAATAATAAAATATATGTGTAAGATATAGTACGAAAATTAAATGCCTCACACTTATATCAATAAATTAAGAAGTTTAATTTATAATTTATATTAAAAATTAAACTATAAAATATATTTTTTCATGCATTTCATTAGAAAAAACAAAATTGGAGTAGTGATCATGTCAAGTTTCAAATCCATTCGGAGACTTTAACTTTTTAATATTAATCAGACACACGATCGGTTCCATTCATTTAAGTATTTTTATTTCATTACACCTTGATATTTTATTTCTTAGCTTTTGCACTGTATTACAAATATATTGTAATATTTATAAGGAAAAATTTTCAAATACGTCTCTCGATTTCATATCCTTCTTAATATCTAATAAAAAATGTTTATTATTTTACTTTTGTTATCGATTTATTTTAAATTATTTTATATTTTGAAGTAAAGTTATTATTTTGTCAGTGTTTAAAAGAAAACGGGATGTTTATGTATTACTACCCATCTATAAATATATTGTTTAAATTTATTTTTGTAGTATTTGAAAATTTTTACATTTCATCCAATTCATATTTTTATAATATTTATCACTCCATCTAGTTAAGCTTAATTCTTACTTTTTCTTTTTGATTTTCTCGCCTATTAGCTTTGTTTTTTTAAGTTCATTACACCATTTTTAAACAATAGGAAGAAGTTTTACACTAAAATGTTACGAAACATGAATTTTTATAACTCTTTATTTGTATTTTTTTAACATAAAAAATTAATTAATTAGTGTAATATTTAATTAGTAATTTAGTTTTTATGTTTAAGCTTAATTTTTTTTTGTCATTATATTTAATTTTTACTAAATTGAATAATCCTAATATTAGTTAAATAATATTAATATGTTAATTTTTTGTTTAAAAAATAGTATATCAATTTAATGAAATATTAAATTAATAGTTTGATTACGATATATATATATATATATATATATATATATATATATATATGATTAATTTTTGTAATATTTTCTAAATAGAAAATTCATCTCTTATATTAACATTGTATTGTTAAGAAGGGACTACGGATAAGTTCAAACATTTTCTTGCTCTCCAATCTCTTTTTCTCTAGCAATACAATCTCATTGAGATCATCTTTTTCAAATCAAATATCTTCTTTCATATCCTAAACTACAAATTCAAGATTATTAAAGATGAAC